ATATAATATAATATAATATAATATAATATAATATAATATAATATAATATAATATAATATAATATAATATAATATAATATAAATTATTATGTTACAATATATAATATATTATATATATAATGTATTATATATTATATATTATATATAATGTATTATATATTATATATTATATATTATATATTATATATTATATATTATATATTATATATTATATATATAAGTTCGAATTCTGTAACTCACTTGTGTTTCCCCGCAGCCCGGGAAGTGCAGAAGGCAGTTTTGTGCAGAAAGTGCCGTTTTCCCTCGCAGCCACGAGAGGGGAGCCTTTTCCTTCTGTAACTCAGGGAAAGTCTCCTCACCTGCCCAGCGCATGGAAAGCATCGGAGGGAGGGCCAGCCCCTCGCAGTGAGCAGGGCAGTTCGGCATCCCTTCCAAAATCAGTAAATTCGTACATCCATATATTGAAAGCGATCCAGCCAGCTCATAACCACTGATGATTGATGTGAGTGCTGAAGGCTCCTGGTTCCAGGGCTCTGCCGTGAAATGTGGATTTGCACAGGAGCCCCAGTGCTTCTCCTCCCTCACAGGGGTGGGATGGGTCCCTGGGAACCCCGGGGCTGCTGAACGGTCCCAGTCACACCCCAGCGACAGAGGACAGGCTGGCAGCTCATTGTTGTGGGCTCAGGGGTCACATCTGCTGTCAAAGCTCAGCAGTTCCCTGTGCTCGCTCTCCTCTCCGTGGTTCATCATTTGGAGATGGCGTTTGCACCTGTAGCACCAGCAGGGGTTTTTCTCTCGGGGATAATCTCCTTGCTCCATAAAAGCTGAATTTTGATTGTGGGGCTTTTGGCTTCTCTTCCTGATGGATCCAAAGAGTCAGGCCAGACCTGCACCCAGCAGGTGAGAGAATCCTGTGCTGGCTCAGGTAGACTGGAGCAAAACTTTCCTGGAGCAGGGCTATCCTGGAGCAGGGCTGTCCTGGAGCAGGGCTATCCACAGCCCTGGGTGCTCAGAATTCACTCAGTCCACCCAAGGGAAGGACACTTCCTCCTGTCAATATGATTTGTTTTCAGACAAGAAACTGCATGGAATAAAAAAAAAAAATCTTCACTTGAAACTGGTCCTCGGAAGAGCAAAATAATTGAGATGATGCTTTTTATTTATCATCAGAAAGGGATGAGGTTTTAAAGCTGTTTTGTTCTTCTTTACAGTTGCTGTCAATTCTGACCTTTCCATGCAACTCATCAGCAGTCTCTTATTTCTCCTCCTTTAAATAAAGGGAAAGAAGTAATGAATTTTAACAGACTTCTTATGTCTCAGCGGTTCTCAGAAGTCTGAGTTAAAGTAGCACTAAGAAAGCTTCAAACTGTTTGAAAAAATTCTTGCTCTCACCATTGATCAGCCCTTGCTGTCAATATTTCCTGCCTCATTACCCACAGGTTCTCAGTCGTCTTGGTAGAAGGGACTTGATATAAAAGTAAAACAGAAAATGAAATAATTCAATAAGTGAAAATGTTTGAGGCTCACAGGCACTGCTAACTCACCAGTCTATTCCAGTTTTCCTCAGGACACTTGGCACTATTTATCTGAGCAGATAACCAGGCCAGCAGCTGGTGTGGCAGAATCTCCCTAATTCACCTCTTTTCTGGGTATTTAAACTTCCATTTCTATGTATTTAAATTTCCAGAATACATTGGGTACATACTGAAAACTTTATTTATCTCTCCTACCCAAGCAAAGCAACCTCAGAACTTCACTCTGTATAAACACCAACGAGCAAAGCACCTCTTCTTTGGTCACCTCAAGGAAGAAAAGCCCCATAAATGCTATTGGTTTGTCACTTTTACTGTCAGGTCAGAAAGCCCTGTTTCTAACAGTATTTCACTGTATTTACCAGTTTCTGCCTGCAGCTCTAACTGGAACCAGGCACAAAATACCAAAACACTTTGGTGCTTGCAGAGATTTGTGGGGTGGGAGAAACTGCCCACCCTCAGAGAGAAACAAAGGAAATCTCATTAATATCCATGTCTGCAGGGAGACAGAGGGTTCTGTTTCTTTGGATTTAGCCATTAATCTGGTTTTATTACTTTCATTAGTATTGTCATCCATGCTTCTGCTACTTTATACTTTACCAAGCTAATTAATGCTAAAGATTAAAATGCAGCTGCCTAAAACATCCTACCAG